GCCTGTTTGGATACAATGTTGCAGCACGTATTCTGCCATGCGCACCGAACGCATCAGAAAACTACAAAGGCAGGTGCAACCTCCATCCTCCCCCTCCTCCTGCTCCCCCACCTCATCCTACTTCCTCTCGCTCATCATCCTTCCTCTCTCCTCTTTCTCCCTTCTCCTCCCCCTCCTCCTCCTCCTCCTCCTCGCCCTCCTCCTCCTCCTGTTCATTCCCCCTTTCCTGTCTCGCTCTCACTCCTCATCCTCCCCCTCCTCCCCTATCCCCTCATCACATCACTCTCCCCGTCTCCCTCCTGCCTCCGCGCTCCTCCTCGTCTCTCGCCCTACTCCACCCTCTTCCTCCCGCCTCTCCCTCCCGCCCTCCTCCTCCACCCATGGGGGCCAAGGGCGCCCCCCCGGCGCCTTCGGCGTCGGAATTAATGTCCTGGCTCAGGAGAATAAATGTCCCGGGGAAATCCCGGCAAAATCCCGGGCAAAATCCCGGGCTGGACATTTAATCACGTGAAGCTGGATTTTAATTAAACCATGCTATTTACAAGGGATAATAAATGTACAGCTTCACTGGAATTTTTGTCCCGTCAAGAAATCCCGGGCAAAATCCCGGGCTGTGCATTTAATGCAAGCTCCCCCCGGGCGCCGCGAGTGCCCCCCGGCGCCGCGGCGCAGCGCCGAGGGCCCAGCCACGCCAAGGGCGACCCTCGCAGGAACCAGCTGGCGCTCGGAGGAGGACGACGACTACAACCCTCGTTCCCCCCCCTCCTCCTCCTCCACCCTCCTCCCACCTACTCCTGCTCCTATTCCTCCTGCCTCCTCCTCCGCCTACTCCTGCCCCCTCCTCCGCATCCGCATCCTTTTGCTCCTGCCCCTCCCCTCCTCCGCCTCCCCCATTGCCCCCCCCGTCCTCGTTCTGATGCTCCTCCTCCTCCCCAACCTCCTCCTGATCCTTCTGCTCCGTCTGACACTCCTTTTTTTCGATCCGTCTGCTCTCTCTCTCTCTCTCTCTCCTCATTCTGCCCCCCCTCCTTGTCCCCCCCTCCTCCAGCAGTGACATCCACCGGCGCTGACTGCAAACATATAATAGGAGCCACTAGCACCTTTACTGGAACCACTACTTCGTCTACGACGACGGGACGACGACAAGGAGACGTCGACGCCACGACGACGACGACGAGACGACAACAACATGGACGACGACGGGACGACAAAGACGGCGACGACGAAATAAAGATGACGACCACGACGAAGACGACACGAAGACGACGACGAGACGACGACGAGACGACGACGGCACGACGACGAAACGACGACGACTACGAACGACGACAAGAGGAGGACGACGACGACACGGCGACGAAACGACGACGACGACAAGACGTTGACGACGACAAAGCGACAATGATTAAACACAGACAACGGCGACACGACGAAGACGTTGACGCGACGACGGCAAGGAGACAACGACGGCGAGACGACGACGAGACGACGACCACGCGGCGGCGCCAACGACTAGACGACGACGACGACGAGGACGACGACGACGTGACGACGACGACGAGGGGAACGACGAGACGACGACGAGGCGAAGACGACGAGACAACGACGACGACGAGAAAAATACGGCAACAAAGCATGACAAAACGACGACGACGACGAGGCGACAACGATACTAAGAGATGATGACGACGAGGCGAAGACGACGGCGCCGACAACATGACGGGACGAAGACGACAACGCCGACGACGACGACGATGACGATGAGACGCCGACGACGACAACGAGACGACGATGACGATGACGAAACGACGACGAGGACAATGAGACGACGACATCGACGGCGACGACTAGACGACAACAACGACGACGAGGCGACGACGACGACGAGAGGACGACGACGACGACGAGAATCTGAACTGGGCTCCCTAGACGCCCTGAGCTTCTCGGAATCACTGGACTCGCCGGGCTCCCTGGACTCAAGCAAGCAAGCACGCACGCAAGCAAGCAACAACGGAAGCACGCAAGCCATTGACCGAGCCATTGGAATCCATCGAACTAGCCAGAGGAAGCCATAAAACTAGCCATAGGAGGCCATGGTACTTGCAATAGTAAGCTATGGAACTAGGTATGGAACCAGACATAGAACGCCATTGAATCTGCCATGGGGAGCCGTAGAGATAGCAATAAAACCAGCAATGGGGAGCCAGGGAACTAGCCATGGGAAGCAATAGAACTAGCGATACCAAGCCATAGAACCAGCCATATTAAGCCATGGACCTAGCCAAGAAGCAGCCAGAGAAAGCAAAGGAACTAGTCATAGAGCTAGGCAGAGCAAGCCACGATATAAGCCATAGGAGTCCATGGAACTAGCCATGAGAAGCCATGGAACGTACCATAGGATGCCATGGGACCATCCAGAAGTCATGGAAATAGTCATGGGATTAGCAATACTGCGCACGGTCAAACTCACTCCCGCGCCCGGCCTTCGTGGACCAGTTCTCTACGGATTTAGCTGCGACTCCAATAGGCAACCCTACTTGGATAACTATCCATATATAGCCATGGAACTAGCCATGGAACTAGCCGTGGATCTAGCCATGGAAATCGCCATGGACCCAGCCATAGGAAGCCATGGGATTAGCCATACCAGTGCACGGGGTCAACCGTGACAACCCATGGAAGTCGCCATAGAAGGCCATGGCACCAACCATAGCAAACCATTGAGCTAGCCATAGGATGACATGAAACCAGCCATTGGGGGCCACGGAACTAGCAATTGAAAGCAGTGGAACTAGCCAAATGAGCAATGCAACTATCCAGAAGCCATGGAACGGCCAAGACCGCACAAGGTCAAATTTTGGGCCCGCGCCCGAAACTTCGATATATATTCTCCAGGCCTGCCTATTTGGGCGAACAAGTTGAACACCGAACATCAACAGTGAATGCATTGATGGAGGTGATAACAGACTCATGATGACATAAAAAAGCACAGCTTCAACGATATTGCAACAACCGCGATGTGCAACCGAGGCCTACGGCTTCAAGAGCACGGCCACGTAAAATAATTAATGTCCTGGAATATTTGGGATAAATGTATTAAATGTCCTGGCCCCCCCCAGATCCCCCAGACGGAGCGCGCCAGGAGTCAAGGTCGGAGAAGACGAGACTCCGACCCAGGGGCAGAGAAAGCGAGAAAACGATAAAACGAACAAGGGGCGGAGAAAAATGTGAAAACGAGAAAACGAACCAAGGTCGGAGAAAACGAGACCGTGACCCAGGGGCAGACACAGCGAGAAAACAAGAAAACAAACGAAGGTCAAAAGACAACCAGACCGCGATCCAAGGGCCGAGAAAACGAGATAGCTAGAAACACGAACCAAGGCCAAAAGAAACGAGACTGCAATCTGGGGGCTGAAAAAATGAGAAACCGATAAAACTAACCAAAGGTCGAAGAAAATCCCTGAAACACTGACCAGGGCCGGAAAAAAACAAGACCGCGACCCAGGGGCAAAGAAAACTAGAAACAGATAACACGAACCAGGGTCGGAGAAAACCACACCGCAGCCCCGGGGACGAGAAAGTGTAACAACGGGAAAACTAACGAGGGTCAGAGAAAACGGGACCGTGACCCAAGAAACGAGAAAACGAGAGAACGAGAAAACAAGAAAACGAACCAGGGTCGGACAAAACGAGACCGCGACACAGGGGCCGAGCAGACAGGAATACGAGCCAGGTTCCGAGAAAACGAGACCGCGACCCATGGGCTGTGAATCTGAGGAAAAGACAAAACGAATCAGCAGGGTCGGAGAACACGACACCGCAACCCAGAGGACACCGCCCGCCCGCCCGCGCGGCCGCATGCGCGCGCGGGTGCCCGCCCGCCCGTTCGCTCGCCCACACGCCCGCCCGCTTGGGCGCGCGCGCGCGCGCCCGCACGCCCGCCCGCCAGCTCGCCGCCCGCCTGTGCGCCCGCTCGCCCGGGCGCGGGCGACCGCCCGCCCGCCCGCGCGCCCGCGCGCCCTCTGGCCCGCCCACCTGCAGGCGCGCCTTCGCGCCCCGCGCCCGCGCGGACTCTGGCCCGCCCGCCCGCCGTCTGCCCGGCCCGCCCGCCGTTCGCACCCCCGCCCGCGCGCGGGCGTCCGCCCGCACGTCCGCCCGCCCGCCCGCCTGTGCGCCCGCCCTTCCGCGCGCGCGCCCGCCCGCGCGCTCGCCTCGGGCCACCTGGGGGCCGTCGGAGGTCGATCCCCAATGCGAGGGCTGGCCAGGATACACCATGGGAGGGGACCTGGGACCGATTTTAACGTGGTCGTGGTCGTGGTCGTGGTCGTGGTCGTGGTCGTGGTCGTCGTCGTCGTCGTCGTCGTCGTCGTCGTCGTCGTCGTCGTCGTCGTCAGCATCGTCGTCGTCGTCGTCTTCCGCATCCTCCTCCTCCAACCCCTTCTTCTCCCTCACGTCCTCCCCATATTTCTCCACCTTCGCCTTGTCCCCTTCCTCTGGTCCTTCCTCTGGTCCTTCCTCATCCTCTTGTCCTTGCGTTTGATGCTCGACCAGTCGGGTTTCGACTCTCCTCCGCCTGCTACGCATGCTCATACTCCTCGCCCCCTTCTCCTCCTCCTCCTCCTCCTCCTCCTCCTCCTCCTCCTCTTCAGCCCTGCTCATCCACGTCATCCTTCTCGTGCTCCTGCTCATCCTCCATCTTTCCCCCACTTTGTTATGAGAATCCTTCCTCCTCCTCCTCCTCCTCCTCCTCCTCCTCCTCCTCCTCCTCCTCCTCCTCCTCCTCCTCCTCCCCCTCCTCCTGCCCCCCTCCCCCTCTTCCTCATCCTCTTCCTCCTCGTCCTCCTCCCCTCCTGTCCATCATCCCTCATCCCTCCCTAACCCTTCCCTTCTCCCCTCCTGTCCATCATCCCACCTCCCTACCTCCCTTCATCGCTCCACCCATCCCCTCCTTCCCCGCCCACCGCTCTCTCCCTGTACTCCCTCCTTCGGCTCCCGCAATCCTGGAACAGGCGCTCGGTCGGGAGCACAGGGAAGAAGGGTTTGTTCGCGCTCTTCGACCCAAAGTCCATGTCGATCAGGGTGTCCTGGCGAAGGCTCGGGGAGCAGATGGGTGGAGAGCAGCGGACCAGATGGGAACGGAATGGATGGGAGGGGAAGTGCGAGGAAGGGTTTAAGGTAAGTCTGTAGGGAAATGATAATGGAAAGGAGAGGGATGGCACAAGGCAGACGAAGAACGATGGGAAAGAAAAACGAACTGGGGGAACCCAGGACGTGCTAACGCAAGTCAGCCGGGTCCATATCAGGAGCCCGAATTTGGCCACGAACGGACCTCCAGACCTAAGTCGGCTAGATGGGATCGGAGCGGATTGACAGACCCCCGTTGGCGCTAAACCATGTTCCGGCGTCGCCGAGAGAGGAAGTGAGGGGAACCAGGGAGGGGGGCATGGGAGACGACGATAACCCTGAGACCCGACGTCGCGGAAGAAACGAAACATCGTGAGAACCTCGACTGGAGCCCTGAACCCCAACTTGCTGCAGCTTTGCTTCAAACGGATCGGTATGTGAGGGCCTCGGGGCGCGAAACGCGCCGACAACGCCCGCTGATGCGACGTCTCGATCTCAGGGCCAGACTACTCGAACCGCGATGGTGTCGCTCCTGAGTTAATATCTCGGGCCTCCAGTGGCCGTTCAGGACGATTCGGGAGAGCAACAACCATGCTGGAAGCCCTCCTGGAGACCACGGGCCACCGAATCCTGATCTGGACAAACTCATCTTCGGTCCTAGACACGACGCGCAGAATCCTTGCAGAACGAAAAACGTTCAGGTAAAACCCTGGAGTCTTGGAACGCATCCTCATCAGTAGTTCTCGCCCCTGCGAAGTCACCCTCAGGACCCCTCCTCGGCTGGCCAGTCCTGGCGGGTGGCCAATCGCTCTTGCAGCCTCCTCCTCCTCCTCCAGCTGCTCCAGCTGTTTCTCCTCGCGACCTCTGCACCTCCCCCCGCCCGAGGGGAGCCACCACCCCCCGTCCCCCAGCCGCTCCATCTTCAGGGCGCCGACCGCGCCGCCCACGGCGCCGCTGCCTCCGCGGCACGGGAAGAACCTGGGCGCACTCCGCGAGCCGTCGTCGTCGTCGTCGCCGTCGTCGTCGTCGTCGTCATCGTCGTCGTCATCTGGCCATCGTTGCCTCTGTCATTGCGCAGCAACCAACCAGCGAAACATCGAATGCCCAAAGTGATTCACATCATCTGGTGAATGGAAGGGGTCAGGGAGGAAGGGAAGATGGAGGAGGATGAGAGTCGCATGAGATGCGAGAGCGAGAGTGCTAACCACAACCAATCGTCGGCCCGCTCTATTTTGTTCCAGGCGCTGCATCGTCCGCGACCTCTGCCGACTACACGCAAGACGCAAGAATGACCCTAGGCAAGAATGTCCTTTGGTGCGCTGCTTTAGGGGACCCGCGAAACCTGCAAACGCTGGGTTCCCGCCGCCACGTTTCCGGTAGGAGTTTCGGCCCGAGGAACCCACGAGCGCGCATTAAAACGCCGGTTTGTTGTGGACGCAGGCCCCGCGAGCAAACTACCTACTCGAAAGACTCGAAAGACTCGTTGCTGCGCATTTCCGCTCTAGCGCCTGGGGCGGGATGACTCAACTCCAGAGTTAATATGCGGGCACGGCAAATTCGCGCCCTGGGACCCGCGAGTGTCCTGGTTCAGGCCCAGGTGAAAAAAGCGTGGGTCAACATGTGACCCGCGAGATTACTCTGGAAGAAATCCACAGTGCAAGCCGCGGCGGGATGACTTCACTCTGGAAATAACGGGCACGGCTGGCTCGCGCCCTGGAACCCGCGAGCGTACTGATTCAAGCCCGCGAATTTACTCTGGAATAAATTTACGGTCAAGGCCGCGGCGGGATGTATCGACGCTGGAATTGATATGATTTATGGGCACGGCTGGCTCGCAACCTGGGACCCGCGAGTGTACTGATTCAGGTCGGGCCGACATGGGGACATGGGGCCCGCGGATTAAACCTGGAATCAATTCACGATCAAAATTGCCTGGGGAGTTACTGCGGAGTTAGTTCAAGACCCAGGCGGATCTACTGCCAACCTCGCCACGGATTAACAATGGAGTGAATTCCAAAGAGGAAGACGGTCAAAGGGTCATCAATGGAGCGGGTTTCCTCCGCTGTAGAAACGTGGTAATGGAGACAGTAGTTCCACTAAAAGACAATATTTGCTTCGGAGTGATTACGTTAAACTCCTGGACGGATGCTGTTCGTCTACATGCTTCTCCCGTCGGCTGCCCCTTCAAATTCCAAGCATGGGTTCACCCTCCCATATGTTCCCTTGGCTACATGGTAAAAATCTCCTGCACAACATGCCCCCGTATGTGTTCCTCGTATGCTGCCCGTCGGCTCCCCTTACGAAATGTACACCATTTTCTGCGAGTATCAACCACCAGGGGATAGATGATCCGAGACGTCTGCGTCGATCGCCATGGGGGGTGGAGGGGGGCGTTTTTTTGGGGATAGTAATGCAGGGGTCGCATTGGGGGAAAATGCAATTGCGTGATCGCATCGAGGGGATGTCGCATTACGGGGAGCGTATTTTGAGGATCGCTTTGTGGGGATCGTAGGGATCGAATTGGGAGGGTCGCATTGGGATGATCGCATTGGAGATGTCGCACTCGGGGGGTGGGTCGCATTGAGTGGATGGGGGCATTATCTAGGGGGAACGCATTGGGGGGGTCTTAATGGGAGGGGGGGGGATCGCATTGGGGAGATCGCATAGGGCGATCGATTCGCGGGGGTCGCACCGGGGAGCGCATGGGGTGATCGCATGGGGGAGGTAGCAGTGTGGGGATCATACCTTTTGGATCGCCCTGGGGGATCGCACGCAAGGCAAGGGTGGTCGCATGGAGGGTCCGCATTGGGAGCGGAGGGGGGGCGTCGCATTGGGGAACCATAGGGGGAAACCCATGGAGAGCACCTGGCGGAAACCGATGGGGGGAACCTTTGGCGGAATCCGATGGTGGAAGTATATGGCGAAGACCTGCGGTGGACACATATGTCAGAAACCTATTGCGGATAATCATGTCGAATACCTATGATGGACACCAATGGCGGAAAACTATGGAAGAAACCCGTGGCCCATAAGGAAAAAACGGGAGAGAAATGTTTGGCGGAAACTCGATGGCGGGAAACATACAATGGCGACCCGTGTTGGAAACTGATGGCGGAAGCCTGAAGTCGGCACCTATTGAGAAAACAGAGTGGCGGACGCCGATGGCGGAAACTCATGACGGGAGCAAATGGTGGGAACTTATGGCGGAAACCTCTGGCGGAAACAATGGCTTGCCCTATGGTGGCTGGCTGAAACCTATCGCGTCCAGGAGGGAAGGGAAGCGGATGGCGCCACCGCTCGCATATGTATTACGGGAGGCGTGGGGGAGAACGCGGGGGAAGGGGGGGAGGAGGAAGGAAGGGAAGGAGGAAAGGAGCACGGACGAAAGGGAAGGAGGCAGGGAGGCTGGGGAATATATCGGGGAGGAAGATTGTGAGCAGGAGGAGGATGCGAAGCTGCGGGCGGGATGGATAGGGGGAGGACCCTCCTGCGCCTCTTCCTCCTCTCAGCGAATCACAACCACGATCGTCACCAACATCAACATTCTACCACCACCATCACAGCCACCTTTACCATCACATTCACCACCACCACCGCTGCCACTATCGTCACCATCACCATAACAACCGCCTTCATTCCTGACAACGGGAACCAATGGGCGAAGTCGGTGCAACCGTGCTCCCGCGCCCACTTGAACATGCCCTTCGCGATCGCCTGCGGTCAGGAGGGGGGAGGAGGGAGAGGAGGAGGACGCGGTGGAGGAGGAGGTTTGTGTTGTGTCTTAATGGAACTGGCTTGGTCTGGGATGCTGACGTGTTCTAACGGGAAAAACACCCTGGCGGCAACTGGAATCTAGAAGAACGTATTCTACTGTACCGGGCATGCGTGTGACCATGCGAGAGAACATGCTGGAGAACCAACAGAAAACACCTGAGACACATACGGGATATCAGACGGGAGAACATTCGGGACACCAGACGGAAAAAAACAGACGGGTGACCGTATGGGAGAACATGTGGGATTCCACATGTGATACCATGCCAACGACCACACGGGAAAATACACGGTTGAACACGTGGGATACCATACGGAATATCACACGGTACCAAATACGGGAGAGCCGATGTTAAACCTGACAAGTCAGGATCTCATAAGATGCAATGCGGGAAATACTGCGGGAGAACAAGTGGGAGATCACGAGCCACCATACTGCACACCATAGAGCTACATATACATATAGATATATGTGTATGCATGTGTGTGTGCATGTCTGTGTATGTGTAGGTATGTGTGTTTGTATGAATCTACGCATGTATGTGTGTATGCATGTATATATGCTATGTATGGTATGTATGTAAGGATGTATGTATGCATGAATGCATGTATGGATATAGATATGTATGCATGTATGTATGTACGCATGCATGCATGCATGCATGCATGTATGTATGTATGGTTGTATGTATGTATGTAGGTAGATATATGTGTGCGTATGTATGTATGTATGCATGCATGGATGTATGTATGTATGTGTATATGTCTGTATGCGTGTATGTATGTAGGTATGTGTAGCTGCGTGTATGCATGCATACAAGTATGTATGTATACAGGTATGCATGTATGTATGCATGTATGTATGGATGGTTGTTTGCATGTACGCATGTATGTGTATATGTATGAATGTGTGTATGCATGTATATGTGTAGGTGTGTGTATGTATGTGTGTATGTATGTATGTATGTATGTATGTATGTATGCATGTATGTATGTATGTATGTATGTATGTATGTATGTATGTATGCATGTATGTATATGTGTGTATGTATGTATGCATATATGAATATGTATATGTATATGTAAGCATGTATGTATGCATGTATGTATGTATGTATGTATGTATGTATGTATGTATGGGTATGTATGTACGTACGTACGCTAGTACGTATGCATGCATGCATGCATGTATGTAGGTATGCCTGTATGTAGGTATGTATGTGTGTATGTATGTATGCGTGTACGCGTGTGTGACTAGATGTATGTATGCATATATGCATGTATGTATGTGTGCAACTATGCATGTATGCATGTATGCAAATATGCATGTATACATGGGTAGGGGGTCTGGGCGGGCGAAAATATGTGATTTCAATACCAAGCCCTTCGCCACCTCCCTGGGCGGCTCTGAGCCCTTCCGGGTACGTGCGGCGGGCTTTGAAATTGCACCAAGCGGCCCGAGGTCGCAGATATACCGTCCCAAGACGCCCAAGACGGCCGCAGGACCGCCAAGGAGGCCCCAAAGACGCCCAAAGAGGCCCCCAAAGAGGACTCCCAAGAGGGCCTCAAGAGGCAAAAATTACCCCATTCCCGATGGAACACGCATATGCTTAGAAGAGTCGTCTCTGGAGCTGCCAGAGCATCCAAGACGGCCCGCGAGGCCTCCAAAATCGCCCCAAGACGGTCCAAGAGGCTCCCTGCAGAGCTCTAAGACGGCCCAAGAAAACCCCAAAAAGATCCAAGAGGCCTCCGAGACAGCCCATGACAGCTCCAAGACAACCCCAAGACGAGGCCCAGAGAGGGTACCCGAACGGATATTTCAAGCCTTCGGCCCCAAGACGCCCCCAGGAGGCCCCAGGGAAATCCCCCAAAGCTCCCGACAGGCCCCGAATTGGCCCCCAGGAAGCCCCCACGCGCCCCCTCCCCATACGCCCTGAGGCACTCATGGCGATCCCGAAGCTTCCAGAGAGGAGAGGCGATGAACGGCCGTCCTGACGCGATCTTGGGCCGTCTTTGAGCTGAAGGTGTCCCCCTATCATGGCCCAACGGTTCCCAGGATCGCCCGAAGAGAGCCTCCCTGGGGTTCCCAAGAGACCATCAAGAAGCACATTACCAGGGGACGGACCCAACCAAGATGGCCCCCTGAGCGCCCCAGAGGCATCCAATGCCCATCGCAAAGAAATACTGCATGCCCTCTTCTTCAAGGTCCTCCCCCTTTGTTTCCTCGTGTCCCAAGCTTTGGCGCGCTCCCGAGTGCGTGTCCGTTTTCCCCATCCCTCGCTGTCAATGTTCCTTGATCTCCCTTCCTTGTTCTTGATTATCCTGCGCTTCCCGTTACACATCCACCTCCGTCCTCTCCTCTTCTCTCCTCCCTGCTGCGTCAATGTCCCTCCTCCTTCTTCCTCGTCCCCCTTTCACGCCTTCCTCTCTCCGCCTCCCTCCTGTGTGTCCGTCTCAGCCACCCCTCGCTGTGTGGCTTCCCGGATCTCTCCCTCGCTCGTGGTTATCCTCGTCTCCCGCCGTTATACGTCTTCGTTCCTCTCCCACTTCCTTTATCCCCGCTGCGTCCGTTTCCCTCTTCCCTCCTCCCCGTTTCTCCTTCACGCCTAGCTGTTCAATGATGTTGACCTCTCGAGGGGTTACCCGTAATTCTTGGGGGACTAATGGGGGCCTCTTGGAGCGATCGTGGCGTCCGAGCCAACTTAAAAATTAACCTGACGAAAGACCCAACCATATGCAGCTGCGAGTACCGCACTGTGGGTACCGCTTTCGGTGGAGCTCCCTGAAGGGCCACGAACCGCGTAAGGGGTGTGCCAAAATGGGTAGCAATCCACGCATGCGGCCTGTGCCGCTGGGGCCTTCGATGGAGCTCCCTGTGGGGCCACGAACCGTGTGAAGGGTGTGACGGCATGGGTGGCGGTCCCCGTATGCGGTCTATGTCACTGGGGCCTTCGGTGGAGCTCCCTGTGGGGCCACGAACCGTGTGAAAGGTGTGACAGAATGGGCGGCGGTCCCCGCATGCGGCCTGTGCCACTGGGGCCTTCGGTGGAACTCCCTGTGGGGGGCCACGAACCGTGTGAGGGTTGTGCCAAAATGGGTGGCGGTCCCCGCGTGCGGCCTGTGCCACTGGTGCCTTCGGTGGAACTTCCTGTGGGGCCACGAACCGTGTGAAAAATGTGCCAAAATGGGCGCGGTCCCATCATGCGGACTGTGCCACTAAGCCTTCGGTGGAGCTGTGGGGCCACGAACCGTGTGAGGGGTGTGCCAAAATAGGTGGCGGTCCCCGTATGCGGCCTGTGCCACTAGGGCCTTCGGTGGAACTCCCTGTGGGGCCACGAACCGTGTGAAAAGTGTAACAGCATGGGTGGCGGTCCCCGTATGCGGCCTGTGCAACTGGGGCCGTCGGTGGAACTCCCTGTGGGGGGCCACGAACCGTGTGAGGGGTGTGCCAGAATGGGTGGCAGTCCCCACGTGCGGCCTGTGCCACTGGTGCCTTCGGTGGAGCTTCCTGTGGGGCCACGAACCGTGTGAAAGATGTGCCAAAATGGGTGGCGGTCCCCGGATGCGGCCAATGCCACTGAATCCGTGGAATCCACTGTGGGGCCATGAACCGTGTGAAAAATGTACCAAAATGGCTGCGGTCCCCGCAAGCGGCCTGTGCCACTAAAGCCTTCCGTGGAGCTCACTGTGGGGCCACGAACCGTGTGAAGGGTGTGCCAAAATGGGTGGCGGTCCCCGCATGCGGCCTGCCACTGGGGCCGTCGGTGGAGCTCCCTGTGGGGCCACGAGCCGTGTGAGGGGTGTGCCAACAATGGGTGCGGTCTCCGCATGCGGCCTGTGACACTGGAGCCTTCGGTGGAACTCCCTGTGGCACGGACCGCGTGAGGGGTGTGCCAACTGGGCGCGGTCCCATCATGCGGCCTGTGCCACTGGGGCCTTCGGTGGAACTCCCTGTTGGGCCACGAAACGTGTGAGAAGCGTGCCAAAATGGGTGCGGTCCCCGCATGCGGCCTGTTCCATTAGGGCCTTCGGTGGAGGTCCCTGTGGGGCCACGAACCGTGTGATGGGTGTGCCAAAATGGGTGGGATGATGCTGATGGTGACGATGAGGAGGAGGAGGAGGAGGAGGAGGAGGAGGAGGAGGATGAGGAGGAGGAGGAGGAGGAGGAAGGGGGGGAGTGAGGAGGAGGTGGCGCGGGGCCATGTCTCTTCAAAACTAGAACCCAACACCACAGGATGGTTGGGAAACAAAGAAATTCACTAAAATCCTTTTTTCAAGGTCGACCCCCCCCCACCTGACTCCACCTGTCCCGGGTTTCTGCGTGCCCCCTGAATGTGTTTATGTGTCCCACATCCCTCGTTGTCCGTTGTCTTTGCTCTCTCTCTCTCTCTCTCTTCTGCTCTTGGGTGTCTTGCGTCTCACGTTCCACATCATTATCCTTCCTCTCCGCCTCCCTCCCCGCTGTGCCACTTCCCCCTTCCCTCTACCTCGTATCTCCTTCAGGCCTTCTTCTCTCCGCCTCCCTCATGCGTTTCCGTCCCCCCCTTCTCCCTCATCCCCATCTCTCCTTCACTCCTTCCTCCCTCCGCCGCCCTCACCCAGCATCCTGTTCCACTCAGTGGTAGGAGGCCCAGCTTGACAAGAAAGGGATGCCCCTAAATTTGTTGTTCAAGGTCCTCCCCCCTTTGTTTCCTCCTGTCCAAAACTTTGGCATGCCCCCAACTGCGTTTCCGTTTTCCCAATCCCTCGCTGTCCGTTCTCCCTGATGTCTCTTTCCTGCTCGTGGTTATCGTGCGCTTCCCGTTCCACATTCACCTCCTTTCTCTCCTCTTCTCACCTCCCCGCTGCGTCATGTTCCCTCCTCCCTCTCCCTCGTTTCTCCCTCGTCTCTCCGCCTCCCTCCCGCGTTTCCGTCTCCGCCTCCCTCGCTGTTCGGTGTCCAAGATCTCTCATTTGCTCGTGGTTCTCCTGCGTCTCTCGTTATACGTCATCTTTCCCCTCCCGTTCCCCCTCCCGTTTCCTCTTGTCCAAAGCTTTGGCGTGCGTGCCCAAGGTTTCCTTTTTCCCTATCCCTCGCTGTCCGTTATCCTTGTTCTCTCTCCTTTTCTTGGTCATCCTGCGTCTCCCGTTTTACATCCTCTGTAATTGTCCCTCCTCCCTCCCCCTCATCTCTCCTTCACGCCTTCCTCTCTCCACCTCCCTCATGCTGTGTCGGCTTCCCAACGCTGCAAGACGGCCCAAGATGTCCCCAAGACAACACCAAAACAACCCAAGAAGTTCCCGCGACGGCCCGGGTACGACGCAAGAGAGCGCCAAGGCGGCCTGAAATGCCGCCACGACGGCCCAAAAGGCCCTCAAGACGGTCCCAAGACAAGGACAATAGCCGGGATCCAAACCGACATTTCGATCCCAGATGCCAAAGGCCCCAGAGAGGCCCCCGAAGCGCCCCTAAAAAGGTTTAAGAAGCTACCAGGAGACTCCCAACAGAAACTGGGGATGCTCCACCCTCCAGTAACCCCCAAGAGCCCCCCAATGACGTGCCCCAAAGGCATCAAACAATACTCACAGCATGATTTTGCCAGGCTCTTAAGGGTTCTCGGACACCCCCCTTAGGCTGCCCTGGGTCCTCCCCTTGGATGCCCTGCGCGACTTCTTGGAGCCTTATTCAGCGCCTCTTGAAGCACCCCCCCAGGAAGTACGCTCCCATGTGGCCACCCTTGCGGGATGATGTCCATGCTCATCCGATGTTGTGAGGTTGGCTTGGACTGCGCTAGAACCTAAGAGCGCGCGAAGCGCGCGCATGTGGTTCTTTTTTACACATATTTACACGTGTGTATATATATATATACATACATACACACACGCCAGCCCCCTCTGTGGGCGCAAGGCTGCGAAGGTGTATGCGGTCTGCCGTCATGTGATATGTGTTATCATTTGTTGTTTGGCCTTTTGTCTCTCCAGTCCCGTTTCGTGCCTCCTGTCTACTGTCTGCTAGGGGGCCCCGCCACGCCACCAAACAACCAACGGGGGGGAACCTCACATCCTGGCTGCTCCGGGTCACCCAATGATTCTCATGGTGACGCCACCGCGCGGTCAGAACGACCCGAGAGGCCTCCAAGATTGCCCGAAGAGGCTCCGAAGAGGGTCTCAAGAGGGCACAACGGCCAAAGATGGCCCCAAGATGTCCCACGATGGCCCCAAGACGGCCCAAATGCTCCCAAGACGGCCCAAAAGGCCTCCGATGTTCCTAACGTGCTTGAAGGTTTTTGGCCTTTTCGCCTTTTCGACTTTCTGGCGCTCCGAGACTGGCGAGATCTTTTCTTCGGATGCTTGCCTTGAACCATACCAGCAATGGCATGATCTCTGTCAGTAAACCTGCTGGGGGTCTCTGGATTCCTGCAGCCCCCTTCGTGCCGCCTAGCTCTTCAGCCAGGCACGATGCTCGAATCCTGAAAAGCTCCGAAACTCATTGTCAGTGCACAGCGCTCTGGACCACGGCGTCGGTCGAGCACTGCAATCAAAAGTACACGCAATAGCCGCGCTGACGGCCGTAGCCCGTCCAAGGCAATGACAGCGCGGAGCGAAAGACTGCAGGCCGAAATGGCCAGGCCAAAATGGCCGCTCGCGCCCCTCAGCTCAGACCTTCGCCTGAAGGGCACTCGAGAGGGGCGCGTCCGAGAGCTTGACACTCATCATCTCCAGCCCTCGGAGCATCGCCGCCTGGTCGAGGAACTTCGTCCCCAGGTCCGCCGGGTTCGACTTCCCGGGGACCTTGGCCAGTTGAAACCGTCCGTCCTTGAGTGCCTTCTGCACCCACAGCGTCGGCGTCTCGAGGTGTCGGACTTTGCCGCAGCCTCGTCGTTGCATGATGCCAAGAGCAGCTGCCGAGTCGCTCCAGATGCGAAGGCTCGCGTCCCTGCCTAGGCCCTGGCACAGTGACTGCATGCCGATGGCCCTGCTGGCCGCCCGCACACAGCCGTAGAACTCAGCCTCCCCCGAACTCATGGAGATGGGGATCTGAGTCGTCGATGCCGTAACGATCAGGTGCTGCCCATGTTTGATCACGACCGAACTGGTGCTCCTCCGCGTGATCGGGCAGCCTGCCCAATCGGTGTCCGAATAGATGTCCATCACTGTGGGTGCCCGCTGTCGGCCCCACTTCCAGATGGCCCGCGGCGCCCCGATCAAGAAGCGTCCAGCGCGCTTCAGAAGGCGGAGGTGTCGCTCTGTCGGCCTCTGCATGCCGCGAGCGCACTCCTTGGCCGCGAACTGCACCTCTGGCCGATCGAGCGCCAAGTAGCCCAGCCTCATGCACGCACTGCGGTACTCTGCCGCCTCGTGCTCGTTCAGCTCGCGCTCGACCTCAGGTGTAGGCTTCTGGCTCAGCCCTGGCGTGCTCAATGACTTCGTGGTGCGGGGGTCCATTCCAAGCTGCGCGTGCAAGATCTGCGCGTGCCTGGGATCCGCCTCGTACTCGATGGCCTCGCCCCCTGGGCACCATCGGCCTCGCCAGCGCATTGCCCTGTTGAGGCACGTGATCTCCTTTGCGTCGGTAGGCGCCGGCCCGAGCACGCCCCTGTCCTTCACGATGAACTTCGTCTTCAGGGCCTCGCAGATCGACTCCGTCCCGCCCCGAGAGCCCTCGAGCACGAAGTCGCCGCCGTGGTGGAAGAAGCTCACCTGGAAGTCCTTGTGGCAGTACACGTAAGGCGAGAAGGCCGACTGGTCGCAGCCAGCACCGATGACCGTCTCGGCAGTCGTGAGCTCGAAGTTCTGGCCAGCGTCGCGCGCCCCGTAGAGCGCCATCCGCAAGAGCCCACACGTACCGATCTCCTGCGACATCGGATCCTCCTCTGGAAGCTTGATGTAGACCGTCCTCTTGATATCACAGTGCAGGCGTGCCCGCGAGATGCCCAGGAAGCGCAGCACGCGGCCCTCGGACGGGTCGCTCGACATCGCCATGCTGCAGATGAGCCGAAGGCACTCTAGCGGCGGGGTCGCCGCAAACACCGCGCCGATGTCGTCCCTGGCGATGGTGCTCTGCGCATTGGTCTCCTGCGCGACGAGCCTGGATCTGTAATCCGGCCGGTCGGTGTCGCCCTTGTCGATATCAACCCAGCGCACGCTGAGAGGCCTCCGTCCAAGCTCGCGCTGACAGTCCTCCTCCCTCGCGTAGACCCACACACCAAGCTGCGCCATGAAGTCCATCTCCAGGCGCCTCGCGGCCTTCACCCGCGTGGGGTCCAGCGGGAGGCCGGTGAGGTCGTCGTAGAACTCGGTCCTCAGCGTGTCGCGCCACTTCCCGACGAAGTCCTTCAGGCTGATCTCCTCGTCGTCCACGTTCGGTCCAGCATCCTGGGCCGAAAGCGCGAGCACCTTCTTGTTGCTAAGGTGACGGCGGAGGCCACGGAGGATGGCGCGGAGGAGCTTGGCCGGGCACCTCTCCGCCACACGCATGTTGCGGCCGACGAAGGTGGAATGCTCGTGGCGGCTGCCAATGCCAGTATCATTGGGGCAGCGCTTGCAGACCTCATCCAACACCTCCTTGTTATTACTCATCCACCCTGTCGGCTTCTTGGCGAGCCTGTCGCCGTGCGCGTCCGCAACCACCAGGCCGAACACGCACTGGTCGCCTCGCCCGACCTCGACACCCGGGAGAGCCATCACATCCTTCACGATGTCAAGGTCCCAGCTGTCCGCGCTCCAGGGGTGCTCGTGCAAGAACGTGCGGTCGTGCTTCACCTGCAGCGTGTAGAGCTCCATCACGAACCTCAAGTGCTCGTACCCGATGGCGGAGGCCTCACGCTGCTTCTCCGTGTCCTCATTGGGGTACTTCAGCATGGAGAACGGCGCGCAGCGAGGACTGCCCAAGAGGAAGTACACCTCGAAGTGCTCGATCAGCTCCCGGCACTGTCGCTGCTGCTGGCGGTCGGCCAGGTCCCAGCCAACCCTCAGGTCGAACGAGCCGCCGTGAACCAGACCGAAGAGGGGGGCAAAGCCCGCAAGAAGACCTCCATCACGTCGGCCTTGCGCCCGCTGTAGCCGAGAGAGAGCAGGAGGGCACCGATCTCCTCCTGCATGTTGTCGTCGCCGGGGTCGTGTGGTGCCGGAGCCATCGCCACGTCAGCCGCCGCCGCGGCCTCGGGTGCCGGCGGCACCTGCTGAGCTGGGGCTGGACCGCCACTGCCTGACGAACCGCCCTCTTGATAGACAGGCCCGGCGACGTCAGTGCGATGCCGCTTCCGCTCGCGGGCATCCTCGAGCCTCTGCTTTGCCTCCTCGTCGTCCTGCATCGCCTGCTCGATCCGAGCGCGGCACTCGGCTGAGTGAGCCTGCGCCCGGGCGCCGTTGTGGATCGCGGCGCAGCCGTAGCAGCCCGGGGAGAGCCCGTACTTCGCGATCTCGACGTCCTTCCTGATGTAGACGGCCCGCGGTCCTGCTGGTGGTCGCCCGACTCGGAGAGCCCGGGGCGGGAGGTCCCCAGCCTCGGGGATGGGCGCCAGAGGTCCGCCCAAAGGCGCGACCGGCGCTGGCACCGGCGCTCGGATCTCGATGGCCACCGGTACCTCGTCCACCTCCACGTCCGTCGGCACCGGCGCCCACGGCTTCCCCACGAGGCTGTTCAGCAGGTCCTTGTCGGCACGCTGCTCGACCGTCAACCGCTTGAAGGTCCTGGCCCGCAGCGCGCCCAACTCCGTGCCAACGTAGACCTCGCCCGTCCGACGCGTGGGCCCCAGGTAGAGCCCAGCGAGGAACTTGTCCTCGATCCCAGCCTTGCGCTTGCCCCCTGGGAGATACAGGACCTTCTCCGAGAAGCAAGCCAGGTCCTTGTTGAAGGGGCGGCCGTGCCGAAGTTCCCAAGCCGCGCGGCCGTCAGCGCCCCGCCTGCCCAGGTTGATGGACATGGCTGCGAACTCGACCATCCACGGGGTCACTGGGTGCTCGACGCCAATGCTCACGCCGTGGAGGTCGTCCACCTGCGCCCGCACCGTCCTCGCCTTGGCCTTGATCTCGCGCACCGCGTGCTCGGCCAGGCCGTTGCCCTGAGAGTCGCCGACCGCGCTCTCCTCGGGCACCGTCTCGATGCCGTACTCCTCCTTGAGCTTGGCCCCGATGCGGGTCTTCAGGGCGACGAGCGGCGCCTCGCCGTCTAAGCGGAAGACGAAGCGCTTGTGGCCAGCCGATGCCAGCCTCCTGGACCACGACTACGCCAGCCAGGGATGCTGCGTCCCCTTAGATGGCACCACCGACGCGTGGAACCAACGCTGCTTCGAATCTTTCCCGATCAGCAGCGGCGTGGCGTCCTCTCGTTCACCGAGGTAGCCGTAGTCGATGCCAACCACCGCGAGCGCCGACTCCTGGTGGTCCTTCGTCTGATGGCCTGTTGACAGGCCTCTGCCGGAGACGCACTCCCGGCACCGTGCCCTGTAGGGCTCGTGCAGCACCTCGTCTCGTGCGCGGCTCGCTCGGCCGCCGTCGGCGCTGCGGGCCCCCTCGCCGGCCGTGCCGGCGGGCCCTCGGCGACCTCCTCGTGAGCCGCGCCTGGCTGGCCGGCTTCGCCCTCGGGAAGCTCGTGGCCTGCCACCTCGACCGGGCAGACCTCCGGCACGTACGGGTCGACGTGCATATCCATCTCGTAGACCTTATTCCTGCGGCAGAACCTGACAACGTCTCCGCTGGTCTTGTGGTACGCGTAGCTAACGTCCTGCCCGCCCTCCGAGTCGAAGACGAGCCGATGGCCAGAGTCGACCATCTCCGCGACGCTCAGCAACGGCTTGCTGATGTCCGCCACCCTGAACTTGGCAGCGCGTGCCTGAGAAGCCCCAGGCATCGCCCCCGCGAGGATCTTCTCGCCTTCGTCGTTCACGTAGTGGCCAGAGGCGGTCTTGCACGAGATCGCCTGGCCGCCCTCGTGCACCGGGTAGTCCGCGCCCGAGCCACGCGGCAGCGCCGATGCCGCCGCACACGAGTCGATGCCCACACGCAAGATGCCGTTGAGCTCGACCTCCTCCGCATCCGAGTTGCCGTGGATCATGTTCAGGTCCAGGGCCGCGCCGGTCGCAGAGTCGACCACGTCCGCCTTGTCCGGCCCCGGGTCGTAGATGCTGAGGGAGTGGAGGTTCGCGAACGGGTAGCTGACCTGCTCGTCCGCGTCGTTCAGGTAGAGTGCCGCGACCTGTCGAGAGCTCGTGCCGGACATCGCCGTCGCCGGACTCAGCCTCGTAGTCGCAGCCGTCGAGATAGAGCTGGCCGCCGATGGTACGGTCGTACTCGTCGACTGGGAGGCGTTGATGCGAGCCAGCGTCTGCTCCATGCTCGCCAACGTTCCCCTGTGCTTGCTCGGGCATTCACGCTGAGTGCGGCCGCGACCGCCGCAGCCCCAGCAGAGTGGCCCGAGCTGCTGACCATGCGACTTGCTGCTGGTCTTGCTCTTGCCGTCGGACTTGGACTTGCCCTTGCTGTCGCCCTTGCTCTTGCCCTTGCCACTGGACTTGCTCTTGCCCTTGCCGTCGCCCTTGAACCTGCCCTTGCCGTCGCCCTTGGTGAACGCGCTCAGGTCCATGGGCACGGGCACCGGGGCGATGGCGCTCTGGGCACGGCGGGCGTCGGTGACCTCACGTCGGAAGTCCTGCCGCTCCACCAGCCTGGTCGCATTGAGCAAGAGGTGCTGGCGTAGAGGGCCTTCCTCGAGCTGCCGAAGGACGATGCCGATCCTCATGGAGGCTGTGATGGCCTCGCCGCTCCTCTGCTCGTCCCTGAGGAGCTCTCGCTCGAACAGCGCCAGCCGGTCCTCGACATCGCCAGCGAACGAGAAGTTCAGGAGATTCAGCCGCTGCCCCGCGATGCGGGACCTCGCATTCGGTTCGTAGTATTCAACCAGCTTGCGCCGAGCCTGGAAGCCCTCATTCTCGCCAGCATTCGCGATCGTCGTCAGGGGATGCTGCCGGCAGAGGAGGAGCAAGATGTAATACAGCTGCTGCGAGGTCTGCCTCATGTTCTCCTCGAGGAAGTCATCGTTCTGAACTGAGGCCTCGTCAGCGCTCTCTGCCAGTCGCATCCCTGCCAGCAAGTCGGCGTTCACGACGCCACAGTACGCCTTGAAGATCACCTTCCAATCGTTCCACTTGTGCTCTTCGCCCGTGAACACGTCTGGCTTGCCCAGCGTGCGGGTGTCCACGAGCGACTCGGCTCGAGGCTGTGGCACAGGCCCGTCCACCCGTGGTCTAGCCTCGGCCACGCGGCCGAGCCGCTGCACCTCGGCCGTGAGATCGTTCTCCCTCTGCTGGCGGTTCTGCAGCTCCTGGGCCAGCGCTATCATCTGCTGCTCTAGAGCCTGCACGCGCTCCTCCGCCATCTCAGCGGCGGTTCGCGCGCAGGTTCGTGAAATCCTCCAGGTGCTGGCCCAGCGCTGCCCAGGTCCTCCTCAGCCTGAACAGCTTGCGTAGCTGCCTCGCCACTCTCCTCCAGCCTCGATGGGCCTCGACGAGCTCCCACTCGTCGCCCTCGCTGGAGCTGGGCCCGGCAGGCCCTGCTGCGGCTCCCGCACCGGCGGCAGGCCCCAGGCTGCTGGGGCCCCCCGCGCCGCTGGCGGGAGAGGGAGCCGCGGAGCCCGACCCTGTGGACTGGGAGGGTCGGGACCACGGCTCCGCTACCATGGCGAGATCTTTTCTTCGGATGCTTGCCTTGAGCCATACCAGCAATGGCATGATTTCTGTCAGTGAACCTGCTGGGGGTCTCTGGATTCCTGCAGAGACGGACCAAGAGGTTCCCAAGATCGACCCACGACGGCCCTACAAGCCCCCATGGCGACCCAAGGAGCTCCCAAGACGGCCGAAAAGGGCCCCGAGACGGTCCAAGAGGCGCCCCAGACAGCCCCAAAGGGCCCTAAGACAGTCCCAAGAGAGGTCCAAGAGGGAGTCCACGAACCGAAAACTCGACCTCTCCACCCCGAGAGGGCCCAAGGAGGCCCCAAGAAGGTCCCCAGAGGCCCAAGAGGCCACCAAGAGACCCCCGAGAGGCCCCAAGGATACCCCCAAGAGATCCAAAGTATCGTTTCCAAGAGGCCCCAAGGAGATCCCCCGGAGGCCCCAAGAAGACCCCTAAGAGGCCCCCAAGAGGCCCCAAGGAGACCCCCAAGAGGCCCCAAGGGGACCCCCGCGCAGCCGCCCGCACTAGTGACAGGGGGGTCGGCGGCAGAGGGCGAAGCCCTTAGGAGAGAGAGAGAGAGAGAGAGAGAGAGAAAGAGAGAGAGAGAGACATACACATTTATGCATACATGCATATGTACATACATACATGCCTACCTACATACATATATACATGCAAGCATGCATGCATGCATGCATGCATCCATATATGCATGCATGCATACATGCATGCATGGATACATACATGCATGCACACATACACACATACAAGCGTACGTACACACATACATACATACATACATACATACATACATACATAATTACACACATACATGCATACATACATACATACATCCATACAACCATACATACATACATACATGCACACATACATACACACATACACACATACACATACACACATACATACATACATATATGCATACATACGTATACACATACATACATACAAACATAAAAACATACATACATGCATACATGCATGTATGCATGCATGCATACATACATACATATTATATATACCATATATACATACATACATACATACACACATACGTACATTCATACACACATGCATGCATACATGCATACATTCATACATACGTACACACATACGTACATACATACATACGTACATACATACATGCATGCATGCATACATGTATACAAACAAACAAACATACATACACTCATGTGGTTGCTCATGCACCTGTTTAGTAAGCTTCCGGTACCGACAGGTCTGCCTTCTGGGACTCCCTCAAGGCCGCCTTGCATGCCATTCCACCTACACGCATGGTGTTCCTCTCCATCGATGGTAATTCCACGCTCGGCGGTATTCCGTCTCCGGCCATCCCGTTTCAAGACGGCACGGCCTTGAATTGCAACGGCAAGAGCTTGCGGTAAACCGTGGAGGAGGACGTGTTGGTCATGTCCTCCATGGCCACGCCCGAGGTCCTTCCCACGTGGTTTGGAGGCCTCTTGCAGCACGAAAGTCGTCGTAACGACTACGTGGCCGCTTCCTTGGACGTTGCCGACCATTTCGCCCAGGCTGGTGTCGACCACAGTGCGCATCTGAGCGGCAAGGACTCGATTGACCACCTGCGCACCTATGCTGAGTTCCGCGTACCCTGCCCTGCAATGAGGGGCAAGCAGCGATGCTCTCCGGCTTCCTCCCGGCTGAGTCGTGCTTTGATGGCTGACCCCGAGTGCCAGCTACGTTTCCAGCGGTACCTCTGGGATCGTCTTGCTCGTGTTCTCGCTGGCCCAGCAGATCTCAAAGCTCTTCAGGACCGCGTTGTGGCCCTCATGCGCGGAGCCCAGGATGCCTGCTTCACCGTCGCTGCCGCGCCCGACGCGCCACGGCGACCCTGGACGTCTCCAAGTACTGCGATGCTGGCCAGTGCGACGCCTCCGTTGAGGTCCACGCTTCACCGCGCTCGCCGGGCGCTCGGGCAACAGACACTCGTGCGTTTCTGGGCAAGGTGGTGCCGTGCTACAAGACGGACTCCGCGGCCTTCCTCTTGGAGACGCTGTACGTGTTTCGGGCCATGCCGGGTCCTTCCGGACCCTGTCCCTGGACCTGCGTGTGGCCATCAAGGTTGCGACGGTTGCGCGTCTTTTCCTCGCCTCCGTCGTGCCGAAGCTGTTGCGACAGCCGCAATTCGAGCGCATCGCAAGCAGGTCAAGCGGTCTATCTCCCAGGATGTTGACTTCTGGGCTGTTTCGATTGCCGTTGAAGCTGAGCAAGCCGCTGCGGTTCATGATTCTGGAACTCTGTATGCTCTCGCCCGCCGCTGACGCACCGGCCGCGACCGACCTCACCGCACGGTCCAGGACGCCGATGGCAACCTTCTGACCGACGACTTGGGCATCGAGAAAAGGTGGACTGTGCACTAGTGCCAGCACCTCGCCGGAAGCACCCTCCCGTTCTCTGATTTACTGGTTGCCGACGCCGCCGATGCTGTTGCAGCTGACGTTCCGCGTGCGCCGCCGTTGTCGCTCGACTACGTCGAGTCCCTCCTGCTGGTCCCCAAGGGGCGCAAGGCCACTGGGCCTGACGGCGTGGGCCCTGCTGCGTGGAAGGCAGGCGGCGAGCCGGCCGCGTTGCTCATGCAGGCTATCCTCAACTCCGCCCGCGCGCACGGCAAGGCCCCCACTCTCATGAAGGGTGGTCGCTTGCAGGATCTGTGGAAGCGCAAGGGCGAGCGCTCCGATACTGCGAACACTCGCGGTCTCCTCATCCAGACCCACACGGGGAAGGTGCACGGGGCCACGCTGAAGGACGCCCTAGAACCTCACTGCCCCCGCGCCGTCGCCGACACGCAGTGCGGCGCTGTCGCAGGTCGTGGGACTGCTGCCGCCGGGCTCACCGCCGAGCTGCACGCAGACATGCGCCGTTCCCTTCGGCAATGCTTCGTCCGTCTCTTCGTTGACCTCACCGCTGCATTTGACACGGTTTGTCGAGAGTTAGCCATGGTGCAGCCTACTGACGATCCTGATCGTGTCCGTGCCGCGCTTCTCGATGCGGGTTTCCCTACGGCCGTGCAGGACCAGGTGGGCACGTTCATCCAGACGCAGGGAAATCTCCTTCGCGCCGCCGGTGTCCCAGCTGACGTGGCCGCCCTGGTCGCCGACATGCATGCGAATACGCGGCTCACCGTCCAGAAGGGCGTGCTGAAACCTGACGCCATCGTCGTGCGAACCACCGAGGGCGCACGGCAGGGTTGCAAGATCGGGGCTTTAATGTTCAACGTGATTTACGAATATGCTCTCGAGAAGGTTCGGCGCAAAGCCCGCGACGCTGGTCTTGTACTCCTCGTCGAAGCTGCGGCAGGCCATTGTCCCTGGCGCACCTCTCCTGGAGCTGTCCTCGCTGGTCCCACTGCTGCGCTTTATCTGGGCGTTTCTGCGGACCTATTCGACATCACATTCGTGGACGACGTCCTCTTCATGCTGATGTGTGCCAGCCCTGCTCTGGCCGCCACGCAGGCCAGCATGTTGCTTGAGATTGTCGTCGACGCATTCGCCGAAGGCGGCCTCCAGTGCAACCTCAAGGAGGGCAAGACGGAAGTCTCCTTGCACCTGGTAGGCAAAGAGTCTCGCCGAGTCCGCGCGTCCCTCTATGACCCCGAGCTGAAGCGTCACATGTTGCGCACGCTGGACGGCTCCCGGGTTCGTCGTGACGAATCGCTACAAGCACGTGGGAACAGTCCGCACAGTGAATGGCTCCTACGTCGCCGATGCGCGTGCCAAGGCCACTTCCTGTTTGCAGGCCTATTACCCCCTGGCGCACCGCGTCTACGGCAACTACGACATCGACCTGCGCACGAGGCTCTCCCTCGCAGATTCGCTTTGCTTCTCGAAGCTGTGGTTCGGCACCGAAACATGGCTGAGCCCTTCTCCCGAAACCGTCCGGCATCTTCACGGCGCTCGCATGCGCGTGCTCCGGCAGGTGGCCAACCGCTGCCGGTTCAAGCGGTCTGGACACGGCTCGGACCAGGAGGTGCTGAGGGATTTGCGCGTGTTGCCCACGGACCTGATCCTCTTGCAGAAGCGATTGGTGGCTGCTGCTACCACTTTCGCACGGGGCCCCGCTATTTTACGTGCGCTCCGGCTGCAGCCTCGCACGAACGCCTCGGCAGCTCTGGCCGACGATCTAAGATGGGCATGGCAGGCTGCCCCTGCCCTGCACGGCACGCCAGACCCATGCACCGAGCCCGGCCCCTGGCTCGCCCTTTTTGCCGAGCCTTCTCAATTGAAGCGGGCTCTGCGTGACATGATGCCTGATTGCACGCGCCTCCACCCGCGAGTTTGCATGCCCACTTACATCAATGTCCATACGGACCGCGTGCCTGCTGAAGCTCCCTGGGTCTGCCCCGACTGCCCTCCCGAGCGGCGCCGGTGCTGCTCCACCCAAAAAGGGTTGATGACCCACGCCTACAAGATGAATGGGTATCGGACCCCAGCACGGCAGTATGTCGCAGGCTCGCAATGCCCAGTCTGTCTGAAGCAATTTGCTTCCCGTGCTGCCGCCATTGATCACCTTGGCCATCGAGCTCCGCGCTGCACAGCACGGATGTGTGAACTCACGCCTCCCACTGAACAGCAATTGGTTGCTATTGAGGGCCCTGGCCATGCTCGGAAACAGTCTGCCCACCAGCGGTAGTCTGTTTGTTTGATCGCTTCGCCTTTGTATTGCCTCGGTGTCGATGATCATCGTTTTATTCACCCCAGCTGCATCATCGCAGCCGCCGTGCTTTATTGTTGCGAATGAACATACATACGTATGTACGTACGTACGTACGTACGTACGTACATACATACATACATACATACAGATATGTGTATATGTATGCCTGCCCCGCAAGGGGGCCACTGCGGCTCGCCCCCCAAATTGCCTGTGCCTTCACCTCGGGCGGACGGCTGGGCTCGCCCCCTCACTCTGAGGGGCCCCGCTCGTGCGCCCCTTGCACTGGGCGACGCGCATCTCTCTGCCGTGATGCCGCGCACCGGCTGCGGAGTGGCGCTCCCGCTTCCCTCCCACCGCTGCTGTCCCAGCGCCCTGCGACGGGTGCCCGTCGGTCGCTCCTGCATCGGGGTCGCCGCACCATCCACCACCTTGGACTCCCCGCAGCTTCTGCAGCGCTGGCACGCCCCCTGTTCGCCGGCTCCGCGCCGCTGCCACCCCCCCGCCGGCCAGCCTGGTTGTCAGCCGCCGCCGCCCCCACTCTCCGACTTGCTGGGCCTCGCCCGCACTGTGGCTGCTGGCCCCTCACCCTGGTTGCACTGCGACGCAGACCGACAGCTGCTGCCAGTGTGAACCCTCAGCCAGGCCGCGCCCACGCACCCGTCGCAGCCCCGCTGCGGGAGTGCGCCCCCGCACCCAGCGCTCTCCCTGCGGCCGCATCCTCTCTCCTTCTCCCCTCGTCCATGCGGGCTAACTCGCGACTCCGCGCCCAAGTGTCGCTCGGAAGCGCGTGCGGATTCCCTTTGCCGCGCCGCGACAAAAAAACATGTGGATCGGCGACCACGGACCATGGGCCATCGAATCCGCATCTGGATTCGCTCGCTCCAGAGCTTAGAAGACCCTTACAGACAAACTGTCGCGGAGGACAAAGGGGGAAGGAAAGGGAAAGAGGGAGGATGGAGTGGGAGGAGGAAGCCTGGGGTCGGGGCCTCCCGCGAGCCCTCCAAGATCCGAAAAGCCCATTGAGAAAGTATGCTTTTCTTCAGTTTCGGAGCTTCGGCCCTGCGTGCTCCAGATAACGACCGACGATGGGCGCGAGTGGATAGTGGGGGATTGGCTACTTTGGAAGCTTCGGCCCTGCGGGCTCCAAATGAAACCCGACGACGGCAGCGATCGGCTAGTGGGGGATAGGCTGCCGGCGACCATGGCTGCCGCCTTCTGGTCATCCTCGGAAGTGGGATCCCCAGACACGAGGTCCTCCTGGAACTTCTTGAAGACCTGCACGGGCTGGACAACCCTTCCCTCTCGTGGGACTTCGAGGAGATGTTTCGTCTTCGCCCCCCCCTCCTCCGCCCCTGCTGCTCAATCTTCACTCCGCTCCCCTCTGCTTCCATGAGCGTGCTTACAACTCCCTCACTTGCCCATCTCTTGCGACGCCTCCGACGATAGAGCCGATATCTGGACGCACGGGGACACATTCTATTGAAACTTACCAGCCAAACACATGCATAACGCATTATAGCAGCCCTCAAGGCGTTCCACTGTGATTGCTCTCCCCTTCCTCCCCTCCTGGGAGGGTTTGCCACTACGCTAAACAGGTCTGGACCCCATTGCCGCGGTGTATTGCAGGTCCGTTGCACCCAATATGACTCCAAAATGGCCCCAGACTGTCCACGGTGACCTCCAAAATGGCCCCGACATACCCAAAACTACCTTCAAAATGGTTCGCACGCGTGTTCCCGAGAAGACCTCATAAAGCAACACGATTGCTCAAAGGTGACCCTGGAACCTGCCAAGGATCCCCCCCGACGTCCGTCAAGCAAAATGAAGGATCACACACATAAGTTCACACACTAACATCACCTTCGCCGTTTCAACACTTTGTTATCAATTGGGCACCGGGAACCCCAATACGGTCTTCATATGGGTCCAGAAATGTCGATATCGCGGGCAGGAGCGTATCGGTGCCATCCAGCCTTGCCCAGATGTTGCCCGCTACACCCTAGGCTAGATAAGATGCTTGCCTTTCCGAATGTTTCGATACGTGCGAGTTGGCGTGCGAATTACATGGAAGCTGTACGACCGAAAACGAGTAAGTCTCAACGTGTATGGGTCTGACTCTGTGCTGCCATGCATTCGCGGGCTTGTGTGTGTGTCCAAGACGATCCGAGTATGAGCGGATCTTGGTACAACTCGGGTCTGGATATGGGTGAGTCTGAGTGTGAGTGAGACTGAATCTAAGTGGATCTGAGTGTTAGTGAGTCTCACTGCAAGTGGCTCAAATTACACGGGCGAGTACAATGAGTCTGTACACGAGTGGGCATGGGTGCGAATGAGTCTGCGTGTGCGTGCGTCTGGACACGTTGTTCCTGAGTATGGATGAGTCTGACGATTGGTGGACCTGACTATGAAAGCGTCTGCGTGGGAATGAGTCCGCTTATGGGTGAGTCTGAGCATGAGTCGAATCCACCTGCACTATCCTGAAGCTTTCTGAAGCCTACTGCGGCCCTTCTGGGATTATCATGGGGCAACCTTCGGCCTCATGGGGCTTCCCAGTGCCTCCTGGCCTACTGAACAGCGGTGGTCATGGGGGGCCCTGAATTCAAGTGGCAGGCATACCTTGGCTCTTCTTACACGAGGAGAATAACGAGGGGGAGTGGAGAGAGGAATAATATTCCTGATGAGGTCTTCTGTACGTGTTGTCTTAAGCGCCACCACACCCCCGCCATCACACCGCATCGTCAAGCATGTGGTCGTGTTCGGAACTGCCTATACCATGCCAAGTCCATCATCGCAGCGCACGCGTCGTTTTGAATGTCAATGGAAGATGCAAGTGAAAGTGGTGTTGACGATCGTCGCCCTCTCGATTTTCACTGGTCTCAATGCACCGAAGACATCGTTCATGTTCGTTTGAATCCTGGCGGTCAATCATATTACGTGGTCTGGTCTGTCGCTTCCACCTAGTCCTCCGGCTCGCGCTCCGACTTTATATCCCGTCCCCTTCCCGTGACACTACCCTTCCTACGTTCTCCCATCCTCTCCCTTGCGTTCGAAGACCTTCGGTGGAACGTACTTCTTCATGGTGGCGTCGTCGAAAATGAGATGCGCCTCCCCATCGGCTTCGCGCGGAGCCGATTGGGGCGGCTGGCACGCTCGAAAGTCTGCTGCTCGAAAGCGAGCTCGTTGCGGGGACGGTGCGGAAATGTTGACGGGTCCCAAGGTCGGCGGCGCAGCAGTACACCCAAAAGGACTGGACACACAAGGTCTGGAAGGGTGGTGAGGGGAACGGGAGGGGGGGACTGGCTCAAGCGGGAAACATCGAGCTGACTCGGCGATACATCGCCAGTATATCGGTGATAGGTCCCCGATAGCGATGCCGAACGTTTCTGGGCGGGGTGGGCTATCAGGCCCCTTTCGTTGATGAATGGGCGATTGGGGATTGATGCTTACCATCTCTGAACCTATCACCCCTTGACGTTGCCCCTGAGAAAAAGAGGGGGACGGTGATGACATATGTCCGCGGCGCCACCGGCGGTTCCCCCATTGCCATTGCTGAGGACGTCCCGTGCTCCCACACAGCGGGAGCGTCTCTTCCCCTCGCGCTCATTCTCCCCCTCCTGCCGTCTCTTCCCTCTCCCACCTCTACTGATCATACTCCTCCTCATCATCACCCCGCTCCACTTCCCCCCCTCCTCCTCCCGCTCTTCAACGTTCCCGCCCTCGTCTTTCAGTGGAACCTGGAACCTAGGTGTGCTGGCGGATCCCTGGATACAGTTCTTCCCGATGTCGGGGGTCAACACAGAATGCCCATTATCCAAGCGAAAGACCCAACCATCTGTAATTGTAATTGTACTTGTACGTGCCGCGATTCTGAGAGTCGTTATTGGTGGAATTCTTCCCCCGCTGGGGCTACGAAACGTGTGGACTGCGTGCTGACTCGGGTACGGGTGCGCCATGCAGACTGTTCCGCTGGGGCCTTCGGTGGGGCTCCCTACGGGGCCACAAAGCGTGTGAGGGGTGCGCCCGAATGTGTGTGTGTGTGTATGTGTGTATGTGCCATGCGGACTGTGCCACTGGGGCCTTCGGTGCAGCTCCCTCTGGGGCCACGAAACGTGTGAGGGGTGTGCCGATCGGGTACGGGTGCGCCATGCGGACTGTGCCACTGGAACCTTCGGTGGAGCTGCCTAGTAAGCCGCGAACTGCCTGATGGGTGTGCCGAATGCTGCGGGTACGTCATGCGGACTGTTCCACTGGGGCCTTTCGGTGGAGCTCCCTATGGGCCCACGGAACCTGTAAAGGGTGTGCTGAATCGGGTGCGGGCACGCCGTGCGGACTATGCCACAAAGGCCCTTCGGAGGAGCTCCGTATGGGGCTACGAAACGTGTGAGGGGTCTGCCGAAACGGGTGCATGTGCGCCACGCGGACTGTGCCACTGGGGCCTTCGGTAGAGATCCCTATGGGAAAACGAAGCGTGCGAGGGGTGTGCCGAATCGGATGCGGGTACGCCATGCGGACTGTGCCCCTGGGGCGTTCGGAACAACTCCCGATGGGCCACGGAAACGTGTGAGGTGTGTGCCGATTCGTGTGTGGGTACGCCATGCGGACTATGCCACTGGGGCCTTAGGTAGAGCTCCCTATGGCCGCGTGTGTGTGTGTGTGTGTGTTGTGTGTGTATGCGTATGTGTATGCGTGTGTCAGTGTCTGTGTGTGTGAGTGTGTGTGTGTGGTGGGGGGGGGGGGGCGATTCGGGTGCGGGAACGCCACGCGGACTGTGCCACTGGGGCCTTCGGTAGAGATCCCTATGGGGAAACGAAGCGTGCGAGGGGTGTGCCGAATCGGATGCGTGTACGCCATGCGGACTGTGCCACTGGGACCTTCGGTGGGGTTCCCAATGTGGCCACGAAACGTGTGAGGGGTGTGCCGATTCGGGTGCGGGTGCGCCATGCGGACTGTGCCACTTGGGCCTTCGTTGAAGCCCCCTTTATGGGGCCACGAAACGTGTGGGGGGCGTTCCGAATCGGGCGCGTGTACGCCATGCGGACTGCCCTAAAGGGCCCCTTCGATGGAGCTCTCTGTGGGGCCCACGAGACGTGTGAGTGGGTGTGCCGAATCAGATGCGGGTGCGCCATGCGGACTGTGCCACTGGGGCCTTCGGGGTAGCTCTCTCTATAGGGCCACGACACGTGTGAGTCGCTTGCCGAAGTGGGAGGAAAAGGAGGAGGAGGAAGGAAGAAAGGAGGGAACGCGGGGCGCTGTCTCTTTAAAACGAGGACCCAACACCACAGGATGAATGGACTAAAACCCACCACCGTACCCCCAGGCACGTTGATGTGTGCTAGAATGCCAAATGCTGCCTGGCAAGGTTTCTACTCTTCTAAGGCCCCCCCCTTCCCGAGCCGCGTATGGTTGCACGCATCGCCCCCTCTTCCGGAGGCTCTGTCGGTGCCCAGACACGCTCCTGGCGCTCTCAAAAGCCTCCACGATGCCCAAGATGGCTTCCAAGACTGACCTCCACAACCGCCAAGTGGCCGAAGATGCCTCCAAAACGGCCGAAGATGGCCCCCGGATGGCTCAAGATGGCCTCGGGACGGCACCAGAGGCTTCCAAGACGGGCTAAGAATGCTCCAAGAGAGCTTCCAGGAAGGCCTACAGAGGCCAGAATCATCGATGTCCCTTATGTGTTAGAATGTGTTCGCATCCTCGCCTGTTCAAGGTGGCACCACGACGGCGCAAGGGAGCCTCAAGATAGCCCAAGAGGTCTCCAAGACACTCTTCATACAGCTCAAGACGGCCTCTGAACATCCCAGGACGGGCTCAAGAGGGCTTCAGCTGGCCCACAAGGCCCTCAGGAGGGACCCAAAACGGTCCAAGAGGACCCTTGGACGGCCTCGCAAGAGCTAAGGACGGGCCACTGACGCCAAATAATCGCCGCGGGTCACAAAAGCCCACGGGTCACAACACGTTGGCAGAGAACCCAAGGACCCCAGCAAGAGGTCCCAAACATCTTTTCAAATGGGCCGGAAATTTCCAACATGACAGGCACCCGTTCCCTGTCCAAGGGTCGAAGCTCACCATGTTGGGCTGGCACGGGGGCGGGACTTGCCGCTGGCAACTGGATACCTCAGCACCGCCACGAGCCCGATTTGGGCCCAGATCGTCGTCCTTAATAATCTTACAAAGAAGTGCGACCGACAGAACACAAAATGTTGGAGATGCGCGCGGATTTCTTGGGTCGGCGGTGGACCCACGCTTCCCCAGCGCGCGGAGCCGACCTGAGAAATCCGGGCGGACCTCCGACAGCCTATGCTCATGCAGATTTGAGCTCTTTGGCCAACACCACCCACCACGTCAATTTGAGCCCGATCTGGAAGCAAACCCTGGTCCTTACTATGCTGAGGGGGAACGGAAAGGGGGGGGCAGCTGAGGGGGGGAACGGCACGGCGGGCTTGAATCGGCAATACCATCGCCCCTAGATCGCACCGCACTTTCCTGGGCGGGGAGGGCTATCAGGCCCCTATCGGCGATGAGTGGGCGATTGGGGGTCGATGCATCCCCCTCTGAGCCTATCCTTTCCAGAAGTTGCCCCTGCCATCCTGCCCCTCCCGCTCCTTCCCGACGGTCCGCTTGTGCCCCCGAGACCCACCAGTTTGGTCATCACGTCGCCGCCCTTGCTGGGAGGCTTGGGCTCGGCCTTGGCCTTCGGCTCGGCCTTGGCCTTCGGCTCGGCCTTCGGCTCAGCCTTGGCCTTGGCCTTGGTCTTGGCCTTCGGGGCCGGCTCATCCTTGGCAACCTGTTGGGATGTTTTTGGCTGAGCCCTGCGGGTAAGGATAGCAAAAAAAGCGAGGGACAGGGTACAGGAGACAGACAAGCATTAGCAGGAGGAGGGCAAAGCGGAGGTGTACAAGGGCGGAACCTGGTAAGGACAAAACCACCAAGAAGATGGGGGTGCCCAGGGTGTGCGACTTGCCGCCGAGAAGGTTGCGGGTGGGGGAGTGGGCGTACGCATCAAATCCACTTGTCATCCAACGGCTCTACTACATCAGAGCGAGAGGGCTGAACGGTCATTCATTGTCCCTGGGTGCGTGGGTGAATAAAGAATTCGTGGTGAGAATTCTGTTTGTTGCGTTGTTGTTGTTCTTGTTGTCTGTTGTCGTCGTCCCACCCGCGACCCACCCCGCGACCCACCCACGCAACCCACCCGCGACCCACCGCGCGACCCAACAGCGACCCACCCGCGCCCCACCCCGCGACCCATCCGCGACCCACTCGCCCACCTCGCGAACCACCCGCGACCCACCCCGCCACCCACCCTCAAGGGAGGAAAAACCACCCGGACCCGACAATTGACACTTACTAAAACGACCCTGGGCGTTGAGTAAACAACACTGCCCTGTTCGATTCATTCCTTGTGCGTTTACTGAACGGTTTCGCTTGTCGGGGTGATTATTATAGGGTGGATTTTCTGCCCTCTACACCCGCGGCCCACCCGCGACCCACCCGCGACCTACCCACATTGAATTAACGAACAAAAAGGCGCCTGCGGCGGGCTCGTTGTATAATTTGTGAAACGTTGGCGCCTGCGGCGGGCTTCTCCAGAGTCTCGCAAACTGCCGACGTCCCCACCGCTCCCTAACTCTGATCCGCATCTGCGGGGTGCTCCGTATTCTTATCAAGTGCCGAAGCGAGTTAAGATTATCAACTGTATAAGCGCCGCTCTCCACAATAACCTTCGCATCATTGAAACTGTTCGTGCCACTGCGCCTGCTGCTCCTCGACGTTAGCACCATGATGTGTTCCACATATCGTGACATACTGCTTCGTGCTCATCACAAGGAGCACCCGTATGTGTATCATACACTTGCGCTCACATCAAATCACGTAGCACTGCTACCATCCAAGGCCGGCCACGGCGACAACACAACCGATAACCGACCGAACCGACAGCGAAACCAAAACCAACCGAAACTGCCCAGAGAAAGGCAGCGGCGCAGCCGACGACACGACAGTCTGAAAGAACCGAACCAGCAGAACGCAACCGACTGCGACGCAACCGAAACAACCGAACTGCGGATGGCCCGAGCATGAGTTACACAAGGGTGCCCTTCCAAAACCAAGGCGGTTCTCAGCCATCGTGCCAGCTGTGCGACCACCTGGCGGAGGAGTCCTCGAAAACGCATTCACACTCCAGCCTCAAAAAATTACCCTGAAACGTACCCAACCCATTTGTATCATGGGAAGCGAAAAGTTGGCCGAAACTTGCACGGACAATCAAATTGCAGGATCCGTTGTTTGATCTGTAAGCTACTTGGGACACGCGCCAATGGCATGATGCGCAGGAGAACCATACAAGAACGAGGGGCGACAACTACAGGCTCGAAGTGGACATGGGGAGTCGGGAACGAAGAGCAGGAGAAACACGTGCGGGAAGCCCACTGTGCTGTGCCCCATCAGCAACCCTCGAAAGTGGCGACAGTTTCACAGATCGCAGCCCCCCACGGATGGCGAGGTCTAATCTGAGTCTGCGGTGAGTACCCACTGTGTTGGGCCCCCCAGCAGCCCTCAAAAGTGGCGACAGTTTCACAGATCGCAGCCCCCCAAGGATGGCGAGGTCTAATCTGAGTCTGCGGTGGGTACCCACTGTGCTGGGCCCCTCAGCAGGCCTCGAAAGGGGCGACAGTTGCACAGATCGCAGCCCCCCAGGGGTGGCGAGGTCCCATTTGAGTCTGCGGTGAGTACCCACGGTGCTGGGCCCCTCAGCAGCCCTCGAAAGTGGCGACAGTTTCACAGATCGCAGCCCCCCAGGGATGGCGAGGTCACATTTTCAATCCGCCGTGGGTACCCACTGTGCTGGGCCCCCCGGCAGCCCTCGACAGTGGCGACAGTTTCACAGATCGCAGCCCCCCAGGGATGGCGAGGTCCCATTTGACTCTGCGGTGAGTACCCACTGTGCTGGGCCCCTTCAGCAGCCCTCGAAAGTGGCGACAGTTTCACATATCGCAGCCCCCAGCCGCCCTCGAAACGCAGCGACGAGCGAGGTAAGAAAGTGGCGACAGTTTCACAGATCGCAGCCCCCCAGGGATGGCGAGATCCCATTGGAGTCCGCCGTGGGTACCCACTGTGCTGGGCACCCCCAGCAGGCTTCGAAAGTGGCGACCGTTTCACAGACCGCAGCCCACCAGGGATGGCGAGGTCACATTGGAATCCGCCGTGGGTAACTACCCACTGTGCTGGGCCCCCCAACAGCCCTCGAAAGTGGCGACAGTTTCACAGATCGCAGCCCCCCCGGGGTGGCGAGGTCCCATTTGAATCCGCCGCGGGTGCCCACTGTGTTGGGCCCCCCAGCAGCCCTCGAAGGTGGCGACAGTTTCACAAATCGCAGCCCCCCAGGGATGGCGAGGTCCCATTTGAATCCGCCGCGGGTGCCCACTGTGCTGGGCCCCTCAGCAGCCCTCGAAAGTGGCGACAGTTTCACATATCGCAGCCCCCCAAGGATGGCGAGGTCTAATCTGAGTCTGAGGTGGATACCCACTGTGCTGTGCCCCTCAGCAACCCTCGAAAGTGGCGGTTCACAAATCGCAGCCCCCCAGGGATGGCGAGGTCCGATTTGAGTCTGCGGTGAGTACCCACTGTGCTGGGCCCCTCAGCAACCCTCGAAAGTGGCGACAGTTTCACAGATCGCACCCCCCCCAGGGATGGCGAGGTCCCATTTGAATCCGCGGTGTGTACCCACTGTGCTGGGCCCCTCAGCAGGCCTCGAAAGTGGCGACAGTTTCACAGATCGCAGGCCACCAGGGATGGCGAGGTCACATTTGAATCCGCCGGTGGGTGCCCACTGTGCTGGGCCCCTCAGCAGCCCTCGAAAGTGGCGACAGTTTCACAGATCGCAGCCCCCCAGGGATGGCGAGGTCACATTTGAATCCGCCGCGGGTACCCACTGTGCTGTGCCCCTCAGCAACCCTCGAAAGTGGCGACAGTTTCACCGATCGCAGCCCCCCAGGGATGGCGAGGTCATATTTGAATCCGCCGCGGGTGCCCACTGTGCTGGGCCCCCCAGCAGCCCTCGAAAGTGGCGACAGTTTCGCAAATCGCAGCCCCCAGCCGCGGTGGGTACCCGCTGTGCTGTGCCCCTCAGCAGCCCTCGAAAGTGGCGACAGCAGTTTCACAGATCGCAGCCCCCCAAGGATGGCGAGGTCCAATTTGAATCCGCCGCGGGTGCACACTGTGCTGGGCCCCCCAGCAGCCCTCGAAAGTGGCGACAGTTTCATAGATCGCAGCCCCCCAGGGATGGCGAGGTCCCATTTGAATCCGCCGCGGGTGCACACTGCGCTGGGCCCCCCAGCAGCCCTCGAAAATGGCGACAGTTTCACATATCGCAGCCCCCCAGGGATGGCGAGGTCCTATTTGAATCCGCCGCGGGTGCCCACCGTGCTGGGCCCCCCAGCAGCCCTCGAAAGTGGCGACAGTTTCACAGATCGCAGCCCCCAGCAGCCCTCGAAACGCAGCGACGAGCCAGGTAAAAGGCAGGGGGGAAGAGAGGGGCGGGATTCGCGCGAGCAGTGCTCTATTCAAAACGAGAACCCAACGCAGGAGGGTTGGGAAAAAGCAAATGGGAGGAAACGAAAGCAGAGATCGGGAATGCAGGGCAGCGAAGGAACACCTGGAGCAGCATCAGCGGGGGATAACATCGGACCACTTGCGCGCAGCATAGGCGGGGGCGAATGGCAACATGATGCAGACATTCTCCCAAACACTCAACCGCAGATTTGCCACCGTGAATGTGAACGCGCCCTGGTTACCGGGCCACATTGCACTGACAACTCCCCCAATACTGAAGAGTGTGGCGGGCTGGTCTGGCGATTGCCCATAATTTCTTCAAAGGATCTTGAAACGCAACTGCCTGCTGAGACAACTATTATCAGAAACGCCCTGTTCACGCGAGCAGAGCAGAGGGCAGACTGAACGGACCTTGCACTCGTCCTTCCAGTAGTTGCTGATCTCCTCGGTCGCGCCGCGCTACTCGGAATTTCAAGAGGGTTGGCAACGATTGTGCCAGTGGTGGCCCAATCTGTGTTGATCGGTCGATCAACTGGTTGACTTGTCGAATGATGGATTACTAAAAGAAAAATGCACAATCATCCGCGAACGCAGCGTGCGGCTGCTGATCAGTGTTGGGCCCGTCGTTGCTTCAATGTTACGTCACATGCACGAGTATTAGGTAGCCCCGACGACACACGCACGTACAAATACCTATATATATATATACATGTGTGTATACATATATATATATACGTATATACAGATTCCTTTTCATGTATTTCCATACGGCCAGGGACCCCGGAAAAAAAAACACACCAACCCGCCCACCCCCCCCGAACGAATCTTAGAACTTCTCGGGCTTGCCAGACGCCCTCCCTGGCACCGTTGGGCGGTATAGCAATCCCTGCCAAGGCGTGCACACAGGCGCATGAGAGCCCAAGACGGCCGCCAAAGGTACCGGAAAGCGCTCTAAGACGAGCCAACCGCGCTTCCTGTCTCCCCAACGCGGTCACATGATGGCCTAAGATGGCCCCGAAACTGCCTACAAGCGGCCCCATGACTGGCCCACAATGACTGCACAACTACCTGCACAAGGCCCGAGAGACTCCCAAAACGATCGAAGAATGCATCAAGCCGCCCAGACCGCCGCTGGACGCCCGAACGCGGCCCGAATGTCACCTAGACGAAGCGCTCGAAACTGGGAGAAACATTAATGTTTCATTGCTTTTCGTATGACTTTCGGATGCTCGCTCACTCGGGCCTCCAAGCGTCCGAGAACGCTGGAAAAGGTACTGGAAAGCGCTCCAAGACGAGCCAAATGCGCTTCCAGTCATCACAACGCCGTCACATGAGGGCCCAAGACGGCCCCCGAACTGCCCGCAGGCGGCCCCATGACTGGCCCAAAATGACTGCAAACAACCACACAATGCCCAAGAGACTCCCAAAACGATCGAAGATGGCATCAACCGGCCCAGACCCCCGCTGGACGCCCGAACACGACCCGACTGTCGCTTTGAAGAGGCGCTCGAAATCTGGACAACAAGTGTTTTGTTTTATTGTTTTTGTTATGTTCGGATGCTCGCTCATTCAGGCGTCCAAGCGTCCGAGATCGCTGGAAAAACACAGAAACCCGCTCTAAGACAAGCCAGACGGGCTTCCTGACAGCCCAGGAGGGCCCCAAAACTTCCCACGGGTGGCCTCACCACGGCCCCAAATTGTCTTCAAGACAACTTCCCCCAGAATGCAACACGTGATCTGCAACCACGAATCGATGTATGGTGGCTCGAGGACCTCCCCACAAATCGCCGAAAAGCGCAACGGCCGCCTCCAGAGGCTCTCAAAGAGCCCTAACAATGCTTCCGCGAACCTCTCCAGAAATTCGCCACGGAGGAGCTTTTGCGAACGAGTCAGAAGAGGACGAAGAAGCCTTCGTGTGCCAATTCGCTCGAGAATGAGGAAGAGAAAATGGACGAAGGCAAAAATCAAGAAAGGAACAATAAGAACAATGTAACCACGGTGATGGCGACATCGGCCACCAGAAACGATTTCTGTCTTGATCGGCTTGCCTCTCCCAGTCTGCCTGGCCCGTCCAGTTATCGGACCAAGGTGCATGGCGCGAAACGCCAATGCAGTCTTGTAGGTATACACAAGCAAGCAAGCAAGCAAGCAAGCAAGCAAGCAAGTCGAGTACGGACAGCGCGTGACGCGCACTGCCACGTGCCCCCAAACAGGGCTCGACAGTTGGCAGCCGTGGATGCCACTCTCACCGCCTGCAGAACTCGATGTAGTTCTCTTCCAGCTGCTTCCAATTATCCTGGTTTTGCGCGGCTGCGATCCATGAGTGAGGGCCAACCGGCCTTCCTGTGACGTGCCTGTGAAAATCTGTTCAACACCTCACCCGTCCTATGGGCGTGAGAGGTTTAGCATGCCTCCTTTTCCAACCACCCTCCTCCCCTTTACAATTTACCCCTCCGCCCTCTTTCTCCACCTGGGTCTGGACGAGGCGTCCCGCGACCGATTGGAGCGTCCAATAAGACTCAAGAAAACTCCAAGAGGGCCTCAGAAAGCCCAAGATGATCTTCGATGGTGTGGCTTACGATGCCCTGAGATGGCTTCCAAGTTGCTCCAATACCGTCCCACGATGGCTCCAAGTAGCTTTGGAGCACACCCAAGAGAGCACCAAAGAGGCCAGCATCCTTCCAACATAAGGAACAACACTGATGTTGCCTTCTCTGCTTGGCGCTTCCGATGGCCTTCCGAGGCCTCAAGATGGCTCCAATATGAATATAATATGGCCCAAGAGGGCCTCAAGAGGGGACCAAAACCTCCCGCCTCATCCTTGTCCTCCGCCCTTCCTCCTGGTTCTGTTAAGACTGACGGGCTTGCCCAACTCTCTGTCCCAATGCATACATCCTTACTTCCCCGATCAAGGAAACTTGCCTGGGCATAATTGTTGGACGGGCTGATAGGGATACGCGAAGCGTCAATAATCTTAGATGGTTTCAGCCTTCCAGACATGAAACAGCGCTCACGAACCCTGCTGTGTGGTCGTCATGCCCCACCCTTGCACACCAACAAATTCGCACGGCCTCGCAACTGGATCGACATCGATGTCCAGACGATCCTTCTGTGTGCCTGCTCGGAGAACCAAAATCACAACACAAGACATCGGCACGTTGACAGGAACGTTCCTACGGGATCCCAAGGTGCATGCATGACCCGAGCCCCAGACGATGACGCAGGGGAGGGAAGGGCAAGTCAAGGCAAGATATGCGATGGCTCTGTCGTGCCCAATCCGCCACCGTGCCGCTGGGCACGGAGTGGGCGTGTCCGCAGTTCCTTTACTTGATCCTCTAAGTAAGTCTCAGTCCTCGCCCCTGAGGAGTCTGTAAGGGCCCTGAACCCCAATTGCTAAATCTACCTGGGCTTCCCGCGGCCTGTCGGTGATCCAGCGCGTCGTGTCGCAAGACTTGTTCGAGCCCAAGAGGGGCCCAAGACGAGCTCAGAGGGATCCAAGAGACCCCCAAAACGGTCCGAGAGGACCCCGAGTCGCCGAACGATCGCACCAAGTCGTCCAAGATAGCCCCAAGACGGCCCAAGAGGCCCCCAAGACGCCCCAAGAGAGCCCCAAGAGCCTTCCCAAGAGGGCCCCGAGAGGCCAAAGCCATTGGTTTCCTAAACGTTGTTCAATGAGTTCGGGGCCCTCGACTTTTCGAGCTCCCGACGCTCCAAGACGGCCCAGGAGGCCCCCAGGACTGCCCCAAGACGGCTCAAGAGGCCCTCAGGAGGGCCCCAGCATGGCCCAAGAGAGCTCCGAGACGGCCCCAGAGGCGCCTAAGACGGGGCCCAAAGACAGCCCCAAGACGGGCCCAAGAGCGGTAAAACGAACCGAACATCCGAGCCTTCCGCTCCACGAGGCCCCTGGAGACCCCCAGGCCCCAAGGAGGCCCAAAAGAGACCCCCAAGAGGCCCCGAAGACACCCCAAGAAGCCCCCAAACGGCCTCCAAGAGGCCTCAACACGGCCCCCAAGAAACCCCCGAGAGGTCTCCCGCGACATCCCAACGAACATCGAAGAAACCCATGACCCACAACCCAAGCATTGTGGCGGGATGGGCCGTAGGCAATTCGATAGCAGAGCAGAGCCGGAAAACGTGGCGGCTGGGGTGCAACGGACCCGCTCACAAGCATTCGCGGGGACAGGGCAACGCTGACCGGGAACTGGGAACTCAGCAACACGACGGGCATACCAATCGATACAAACCTTCGCGCCTCATAGACAATACGTTGCAAGGGCAGCCGCAACTTCTCTGCAAACTACCACGACACTCTGGAACAAGAAATGGTACACTCTGCACACAGGGTGTGGTGTGCAGAATTTGGCAATAGACGGTCGTTTCATCAACACCCTCGTGGGCCTGTCGGAGCGCGAGGCATGCGCGGTGACCTTGCGATGCTCAACTTCTACAGTCCGAATGCGATGCGCGACTCGGGGATTTTGTTTGGCCGCCTTGCTGCCAACCAAGATTGGCTAGAACGACCAGGTCACGATTTGGAGGGCTCAAAGAGTCTCTTGGGCCCACTTGGGGGGTCCAGGCAATCTTGGGGCCATCGTGGGTCCTTCTTGGGTCTCTTTTGGGCCGTCGTGCGGCGATCCTGGGAATATCTTCTTCTCTCATTTCTCTCACGATGATGGTCTGGCACGGGCACGCGACTGGCACCTAGCCCCGGTTGGTACCTGTGGCCTCAGCGTAAACTTGGAGCCCTAGCTGAGCAGCCAGCGAAACTCGCCTGCAGAACAGCTCGAGCCCAGGAACCGACGAAATCCACTAAAAGAATTCTGCCAGCCCCTGTCCGCCGATCTATAAAATCAAGTGCTCATGACCCCGATGGCCTGGCCAAACGCCCGACGCAGCGGTGCGGGGGTCTCCCGCGCCCGACCCCTGGACGGCGGTCGGGATCGCAGAACAGCTGTAAGTGCGCTGCAATGCCGAAGATGTTTAGCGCCGGCATCGCTTCATGCCAGGCCCAAAGTCCCTGTTCACGATTACCCTGCTCCAGACTCGTATGCCAGCGGCATCCTGGTCAGTGTCAGCAGCTCCGCCGAAGAAACGGGCGTCACCTCATGCACGAGCATCCTGGTTCGGTCCACCCGTAGTTCTGGCCTACTGACGACATGGCATCCTGCACTCCCATGCCGTTGCTGACGAGAGTCTGTACCCTGTCGGCACACGTCGGGCAAGAACCAGAGCTGTCCCCAGGCCCGCACGCTTCGTTGGTGGCGCACGAGCCCGCGCACGCGTACGACTTCATGCCACCCACGCATACCTCACCGCCGCAGCAGTGTGCCCGAATTGCCACAGAAGTCCTTCATGCACCGACAACTGTCGTACGAGCAAGCTACACTGTCCATGGCCTCAGACGCAAGACATAGATTGTCGGTGAGCGTCTTGACTCTGTCGGC